ATGCTAGCAAGCTTGATATCATCTGATAGGAAACTTCACGTAGTTTTAGAATATCAAAACGGCTTCGGTTGAGGGAATAATTTTTGTGGATTTTTTAGTCGTTGAAGTTGAAAGCGAAGTCGGCGAAAATTAGCACCTTCGACAACTGCCTCTATTTACGTATAGTCGAAGTGCTAAAATCGCTTAAGCTGCTCCATACATTTGACATTTGAAAAAGGTCGAGCTAGAAGTTCCAGCAAGGGAATCTCACTAGGACGCTTTGGAACGAATTTCAAGAATTTTGAAGTTACCAACCTTCACCTCGCCGATATTGGGCAGCTCACGTCTGTTCCACCTGAAATTTTATGCTAATATTTGAATGTTTCGCTGATATGTTTTGCATGTTCTGATAGCAAATTTCGTGCTCTATAACACTGCTATAGAAATCTGTTCTCCAGAGGTGTTTGCTTTCTGTTAAGTTCAGGTTATCATTACGGAACGCGAAGTCGTTGAGAACTAGCGTTCCCGTTCTCCACGAATTTTATGCTAACATTTGAATGTTTCGCTAATGTGTTCTATATGTTCTGATAGCCAATTTCGTGCTCTATAACACTGCGTTGCAGTTATTTTGAAAATCCGTTTGATGCCTTGTTTTCAGGTTAGATTCCTTCTTCGAGTCGCGGCCACAGGATTTTTACCGAAAAGGCATTGAACAGCTGGCTGATCGGTGGGAGGAGGTTGTAAGAAAAATGGGGAATATATCATTGACTAATTTATTGTAAACATCTATATTTTTTATAGTGTTGTAAATACTGTGGTTGAAATTTACTAAGGAGAACAAAAAAAAATCGTGAGGTATGGTCGACCAGGGCACGCCATTGCGTTGTGATCATTTCCTGAAAAATACGACCCCCCCTAATTCCATCTTCAAGTACGACCCCCCTCCCCACGTTACCTCTTCCCTAGATTTTTCCAACCTCCTACCACTTTGTCTATTTTTTCCCAAAAAGTTTCTGGTTTTTTTACAAAATTTTGCTGTCGAGCGGGGGGGGGGTCGCAGTACCTACGTACGTCCCAAGCACGTCCAGCACTCTGGCGCTGGTGTAGCATACTGACAATACGTACGAGGAAGGGGCGATGATAGGAGCTACGATCACCGCCCACAAGGGCCCCATGAATTTATAAACAAACAAGAGGACTCACGACGTGACGATTAATAAACAGATGAAAGTACATTCCCGGACTTTCTGATCGTAGGAGCACATTTGCTTGCAATTGGGAAGCCCTATCTAGAAGTTACACCTTTCAAACACCTGCGTGAAAGCCCCATGCATGGCGCATTGCATATGTGATGCCAATTGGCGCCCAATGGCCTATTACCTGATATGCTTGACGAAAACATGTGTTTCAGAAGCATACCAAAGTCTTCGAGCCAACTGGAGGTTTCCTGGCCTCGGAGGGGTTGATTTTTCGGTGTCGTGGGGGGTGATTACAAAATGATCACAACGGGGAATTTTTTCGAATAGTAGGTCTAGGAAGGAAATTAAAACCTTGCTGGAAAGTAGAAATCTTCAAGCTTCCGGCACAGTTCTTTTTTTACGAAAGGTCGTGTATGAAGCTTGCCATGGACGTCCAAAGCGTAGCGACTCGCGGTTCGCAAAAATGATCACAGATGGATCACAAAGATGATCACAACGGGGAAAATCTCTGGAACCGGAACGTTTTTGAAATGCGCTCCAATTCAAGTGACGAAGAGCCAACCTACGCTCTAGCTCATGTCCCACTTTACGGGCCGCTTGGGTTTTTTTTCTCCGATAGCTTCAATTTCAACGAAGTTATGGGTGTTCAAATGAGGGGGTACTTTTCACGTGTTTTGGCTTGAAATTGGCTCCAAACCGTAAAATAGCGCGCACCAATGCGCTTGTATGAGCGCGCTGACCGCGAACAGCCAAAATTCAAAAGTAATCCATAGTTCCGGTTCCCAGCTGAGCGGTGAGTTTTTTCTTATCCTTTTTATTGTGAATTACTTTGTTTGTTTTTGTTGATTTGATATTGTTTTGTTGAGTTTGTTTTTGTTGTGAGGAAATTGCTCAGGATTCAATTTCTACGGTTTCATAGGTAGCTTTTGCAATGGATTCTTTTCTAGATTTTGCGGATTAGTGGATTGGGATTTATCTAGACCAGATGAGGAGGTTGGTGGGCGAAGTGTCTTGAAGTTTTTTTGTGAGGAAGGAGGAAAAAGTTTCAGCAATATTTTTTTAGTTTTTGGCCTAGGAATAGTTCGATAGTGCCTAGTTCTATTTATTGTCATCTACATCGTCCCTTTTGAGCTTCTTTTTACTTGTACCGTGTATCCATCACGCTCCTCTCCACTTCAATATGGGCCATCGCGTTTCAACCCGACCCCCCACCCCCGTCCATCGTTCTTGGGCATTATGCGAGCCCCCCTGTTGTGATGATCACAAGATGGCTGCCGCTGGGTCCGACGGATGTCTGCAAGGTCAACGTTGTCGGTTGTGCTTTTTTCCAGAATCGACTGTGAGCTGTCCTAACACTAATCTGTTACTCTAAGCCTTACTCAAACCATGGCGATTCTATTGAGCTGCTCTAGGAGCTTTGAAGCTTCAGTGGATTCACGCCGATTTGAGGAAAGAGGAATAACGGGAACTCTGATCTATCCATCGACCTCTCGTCGCGGTAAAACCGGAATTATCCCTGCAATTAACAGAAAAGAAAACAGCGCTCCACAGCGAGATACTTTGATGTTTTCATTTCGTCTAAATCGCTATATAACCTTTCACCGGGGCACCGAACTTGGCTAATCGAACATATAGAACACATTAGCGAAACATTCAAATGTTAGCATAAAATTCGTGGAGAACGGGAACGCTAGTTCTCAACGACTTCGCGTTCCGTAATGATAACCTGAACTTAACAGAAAGCAAACACCTCTGGAGAACAGATTTCTATAGCAGTGTTATAGAGCACGAAATTTGCTATCAGAACATGCAAAACATATCAGCGAAACATTCAAATATTAGCATAAAATTTCAGGTGGAACAGACGTGAGCTGCCCAATATCGGCGAGGTGAAGGTTGGTAACTTCAAAATTCTTGAAATTCGTTCCAAAGCGTCCTAGTGAGATTCCCTTGCTGGAACTTCTAGCTCGACCTTTTCCAAATGTATGGAGCAGCTTAAGCGATTTTAGCACTTCGACTATACGTAAATAGAGGCAGTTGTCGAAGGTGCTAATTTTCGCCGACTTCGGCTTTCACTTCAACACGTATCATTTTTACTAAAATCCACAAAAATTATTCCCTCAACCGAAGCCGTTTTGATATTCTAAAACTACGTGAAGTTTCCTATCAGATGATATCAAGCTTGCTAGCAAAACATTTCATCTTTGGAACGAAATTTCCGGTTGAAAAAAAACGAAAGTACTTATGTGCCAACCCAATAGATCGACTTTTTTCACTCGCACTCACGATGGAATTCTGTCGAGCCATTCAGACTCCGGTAAGGTCGCGATTCGGTTGCGTGATACTTCGCAACCTGTGCCACGCAAAGTCTTCCGATCAGCTGTTATCCTCATTTAATTTAGGCCGGTTTCTAATCTTTATGATTGATTTTGATATTTTCATCTGTACTCAGTTGTTCCAGAAGTGAGTGCCTTTCGCTGTTTTTTCTACCTGTTTTGCACGAAGGCCTCACTTTTTAATGATGAGGCTTTTTTTTTCGTTGCTGCAAGTCAGATCCAAATCAAAGAATTCCTTTTTACCTGCTTTCACAAAATGCTCATTATCAAGGTGGCGCCTTTCTTAGCTGCTCTTTTTTCAGGTGGTTGCGGTTTGAAGCTCATACACTTGTGGAATCCCCGGTCTTCACGGACATTCTGTGTCGCGAAAATACTTGCCTCGGGAATGAAAGAGTTCAAAGTAGGCAAAAACAGCAAGAAAGGCCTCCCAAAACCTGCATGACTTGAAGCACTGAAAACAAGAACCGAAGTTAAAGGAGAGAATGGGAAAATGAAGCCAAAAAGGAACTTTCCAAACGTTTGTGTGCGTTCAAGAAAAAGGAATCACGAAAGTAAGCTAAATAAACTCGAGAAGGACTCAGATAAATGGAGCGTCAAACCTGTTATTTCTCAGCGGAGCGGCTAGCTGAGACAAATCACCGCGATTGAACTAATCGCGGCGACTGGAATCGCTGGTCACTGGAAGTTCCTGTACCTGCCTTTACCGCGACTTTCCGAATTATGGCGCGCTAAATCCACGAGTCGGCCGATGTGAGCGTGGGCTTACAGTGGGGGCGGGGGGTTTGGCATTTCGCATGGCGCATTGGCCGTGACATCCAAGCCCGCTTCGAATTTTCCAGTGGCTCCATTATGTCGCCTTTATGACCAGCATTAGTTAACCAGAAGTACTGCTCCAATGCGCCGCTGTTTTTGCCTATGATCCTGTACAGATAATTTTGCAGTGAAGGAGGATCGGCTGGATGGGAGTTTTATTAAGAATAAGAGATCATCCGCCGCCTAGTTATTATACTGACCACTGGCCCGCCAAGGAACTAGTGAAGCGGGACTGGTGGCCCGAGTCAGGTAAGATAGGTGGCACTCATTTATCTCTTAATCTCCCTACTGAACATTTAATATCTCTACTGAACATCCTTTTCAGTGTGCCGATGTCGGTACCTTCACGAAAACCGCCGATATTGCCGCTTAATACAGCAATACGGAGTGGTGCCAAAAAGGTTGGTGCTTGTGATCCTTCCCCAAGTTGACCGTATTGTATTTTTGGTCGCATTGCAGATGCTTGGAACTCTTCGCTCGTTCCCTCATGCCATATACGGTGTCAGTTGGTTACGAGGCACTATTGCTGCAGTCCGAACTCTGTTTCATTTCCACGGATGAAGAAAGTGAGGCTTAGAGACTGAAAGCATTCTGTGTATCAGACTGGACTCAGTGCACCATTCCCTCTTCACTGTTCCTTGTCATGCAATGTCATTTAACTAGGGGCGGATGATCTCTTTTCTTAACAAACTCCCGTCCAGCCGTCCTCTTCATTGCAAAATTATTGTGACAGTATCATAGCAAAATAGCGGCGCATTTGGAGCGTACTCTGGATACCAATTGCATGGGTTCATAAAGGCGAATGTGGAAAATGTCGAATATGGAGCACTGGAAAATCCGAGGGGCTTGATGTCACGGAATGGCATGCGAAATGCAACTCTGTAAGCCCACGCTCACATCGCGCGACTCGTGCGATTTAGGCGCATAATTCGGAAAATGCGTAAGGCAGTGTACAGACTTCCCAGTGACAGCGATTCAGTCGCGCGATTAGTTCAATCGCGTGATGGTCTCAGTAGCGCTCCGCTGAGAATAACAGGTTGACCGCTCCATTTTCTGAGTCCTTCTCGTTTATTTGCTTACTTTCCTTGATGGTTAGCCTTTTCCTTTTTCTTGAACGCACACAAACGTTTGGAAAGTTCCTTTTTGGCTCATTTTCCCATTCTCTCCTTTAACTTCGGTTCTTGTTTTCAGTGCTTCAAGTCATGCAGGTTTTGGGAGGCCTTTCTTGCTGTTTTTGCCTACTTTGAACTCTTCATTCCCGAGGCAAGTTCTTCGCGGAACACAGAATGTCAGTGAAGACGGGGGTTTTACAAGTATATGAGTTCAAACCACAACCACCTGAAAAAGAGAACTAAGAAAGGAGTCACCTTGATAATGCATTTTGTGTAAAAGTAGGCCGAGAAAGCTAAAAGGAATTCTTTGATTGTGTTTGACTTGCAGCAACGAAAAAAAGCTCATCTAAAAAGTGAGGCCTTCGTGCAAAACAGGTAGAAAAAAACCAGCGAAAAAGGCACTCACTTCTGGAACAACTGAGTGCGTTCAAATAGATGAAAATATCAAAATCAATCATAAAGGATAGAAACCGGCTAAATAAATGAGGATAAGAGCTGGATCGGAAGACTTTGGGCCACAGGTTCGAAGTGATCACGCAACCGAATCGCGACCTTACCGAAGTCTGAATGGCTCGACATAATTCCATCTTGACTGTGAGTGAAAAAAGTCGATCTATATACGGGTCTTGAGCGATTTGACGGTACTTTTCATTAAT